TGTTTGGACTATTCGATATGTCCATAATGTAGTTCTCGAAATAAGTTTTGAGATGACATAAGCAATTTGTAAATTCGATTAGCGTACGATCGTCGGAGAATTTTTAAAATTAGCATGTTGCCCATGCAGGTCCCTAACTTTTATAATTATCTTATATTTTCCAAAAATTCTAGTATTTTTACGGACGTACCCCTTGCTAATCCCGACCCCTCGTGTTTCCTCTCCTTCCATTTTTTTCATCAAATTATGATTCGTACATTTCTTTCTCAATTATAGTGCTTGTTAGGTAACGTTTTTACTTATAAGTTGTAAGTTTTATGAAATGTGTAGATACTAAGTTGTCTATCTTATGAAAGCATAAAAAGTATATTTGACAATTTAAATTGTAATTTAAGCTTTGGTGGACGTGTTGATAGAGAGGGGCAAACCTACTTGAGGAATAGTGAGGGCTGCCGCCCCGACTCAATTTTTAGATTTTTTTTCCAATTTTTTTGGTTTTGTCAACACTGGACTTCCTTCCTGGATCCGCCCCTATTGATAGATCACAAAAATGCTTACAGCATATTTTTAAAAAAAAAAAAAACAGCCCTTTAAATAAAAAGAAGTTAAAGGTCTGTTCTCTTTACTATTTTTAGGCCATTTTCAATTTTCGATAACATTGAAAACATATTTACTTACCTATTTTCAGAAACAAATTTTCAAAAACGAGTTTAAAATTTACAAAGAAGACAGAAAATGTCAAAAAAGTCGTTTTGGTTGTTTTCAGTTAAAATCAAACCAAAACTTCCTTTTTTTTTTTTTTTTTGGGAAAACAAATTTTCAAAATGACAAAAAGAACGCAGTTTCAACAATCTCAAAATAGACACTCAAAATATAAAACTCAAAATGAATTCAAAACTAAAAACTGAAACATGAAGAGAACATCCCCAATCTATTATTCCAACCTTGAATATGAAATTTTTGAATGGCCCTCTTCTAAGTTTTAACACATATAAACCTAGGTGTTCCATGGGCGAGCTGCTCGCTAGTTTGCAAACTCGTCGACTCGTGTGCAAGTTAGATTGTTAATGATTCATGAGCATACTTGTCGTAAGCGAGAAAAATGTAATTCCGGTGTCGCAAATCGATTCGATTCATCTTATCAGTGGACGAGTTCGTGGAACGAGTGGAGTCACACTTCATTAGCCACAATTACACGACAAGAAGTAAAAAAGACAAATCTTGGAAACCAAAAAAGAACTTCGAAAGATAAATTAAAAATGATTGAATACGTAAAAATGAAGATTTTTTTGCTTTACTGGTCACCCTTTTGTTCTCCCTTTCAATCGAATCTTCTTGGATTATTAATTATTTAATCCATAATTACCCAGAAGTACCCAGAAGAATATCACAACTGTCACCACCATCGCAATATCCACAATCACCTTTCGTATTCATATACTCACATATAATTTATATTAGATTATTCTCACAGATCTGTGCCACAAAAGTCACTTACACCACCTGTACTGTCATCTTCAGGTAAGTCTCAGTTACATCCATCGGAGCTTAAATTGTCACAGATTTGTTAAATTCCATCTGTTATTTTTTTTTTAGGGTAAATATGTTTGCAGTGTGTGTATCTGTTGAATCCTGGCTTATATTTCGTTAAAGAATTCTTTTGAATTACCTGGATTTTATCATATCTCATCCGGGCATTCCTTTCTTT